ACCCTCTGCTTAGCAACCGGCCAGTCCTTACAGAGACCCTTACAGACCCCTCTGGGTCCGTGCGTGCAAGACTCCCAGCTCCTGATGGCTGCACCCCTAAAAAAGAAAAAAGAAAAGAAAAGAGGAAGGGGGAAAAAAAATGAAGAAGCCAATTAGTCGTCATACAGGCGTCCCACCTTCTGAAAGAGGCCGGGAGTGTTGGAGACGGGCAGGGTCATTCTTTGAGCCACCGAGGCCCGAGCGGCTACTGGACACGCAGGGATCCTGCCGGTTCACCCATTAGCACAGTCTCCCGTGAGATGAGCGCTCCTCTCACGGTGAGTTAATGCCGGATTAGATCCGGAGATTTCAAGGAAATTCCAAGTGGAACGAATCGCGTTTCCATTCTGAGAGCTGCGGAGCCCGGCCCGAGCAGGGCGCCAGGCTTTGGCCGAATCCAGCCGCTTCCCAGGCTTAGGTCGCCACTGGCAGCCAGCGGATCAGGGAGTTGCGGCTGGGCGGGGTGCCGTCCCCAAACGGGGTTCCCCTCAGACCGCCCAGGATCCAGTTTCCCCAGCGGAGGGTCCCCTATTTAAGAAAGACAGCAGAGACCCGGCTGGAGAGAATGCGGGCTTCCGGGGCGATCAAGTCCCTGTGTGCCTCCGAGGACTCAAAGGCCTGGCAGTAAGGGGAAGCCTGGGGCAGCCCACTGGCGCTGGCTGCGGGCTGGTCAGTTATCTTTTGTGTCAATTTCCTGAGTCGGTAACCCACCAAAGTGGTGGGGACATTTGGGCACGGAAGTGCTTGCTCCAGTTCCAGCCCAAACGATTCCTTACCATTCAGGGCCTGGGCCAAAATGATTTCCAGTCCTTGGTGACCTCGGTGCCCTCAGCAACCTTCTCCGTTCTCCGCGGACGTAAGCTCGCTCTGGGGAGGCTCTGCTCTCGCACAATGAGCCCCCCAACGACCGAGTTGGGGGCAGAACTCTGAGAGGGGAGCAAACCCTTGGTCAGCTAAGGAGCCATTGGGGGGGACTGTGGGGAGGTCCGGCCTCTGCGTTCCTCTCCTCGCGGCTGGGAATGCACCGGCCCCTCATGCTTCCTTCCGTGCAGTGCCGGTCCGCCCAGAGGTCACGCCGGGACCTTGGGAAGATAGCATCAGATCCTGCGGGCTCCTGGCTGTTCATCAGCGGGAGAAGGCAGCTCCTTCCAGGTGCGGGGTCATCACGGCTGGTGCCTGTCTCCATCCCTCCCGGCCCGGCCTTCATCTGCCCCCCTCCCTGGACAGTGCTCCATTTTCAGTCTCCCGGGCAGCACAGTGGGGGCTGGGCCCCAGCCCATCTAGCTGTTTTCTCGAGCTGCTGCAACCCCTTGGCTCCTGGGAAGGCCTCTCGGTTCTGAGGCCCAGTGCTGTCTGCTCGCCAGTGTAGGCCTGCTCTGGGGTGGCAACTTGCTGGCGGTCGCCATCTCTGCGCAGCAGATCCTGCGAGAGCTCTGGGGCAGTCGGGGCTCCGACCAAGCCCACGCCTCGTCTCCCTTCTCTGGCTCTGGTCAGTTTTTCCCCCTCCTCAGCGCCCCCTCCCTGGTTTCTGTGGGGTAGTGGTGTGGGGGAGGGGCAGGCATGGCCTGGAACGTGGCCTTCTGGGTCCCCCTGCCCCCGCCCTCATTCCAGGCTTGTTATTCCGATCAGCCCACTGGCCTGCCGTCCCCCTCCCCAGAGGCTCCCCTCCCGTGAATCGTATTCCCAGCACTTTTGCAGCTAGTCTCCTACCTGAGCGTCCCTTACTTCTTCAGCTACACCCATTTCACAGAGTGATACTGAGGTCAGAGGGACAAAGACTGATAAAAGTCCACAAGAGCAGAGCTGTAGCTTTCAAATGGAGACGTAAAAACAAGAAATAAGGCTTCAGGCATTGGTGAAAGGGGATGGGAAGGGACTCAGATTCCAGACAGAGGGCAGTGGGCTGTCTGGGTGGTCACACATGTGCAAGCCTCTCTGTTGGTTCAACCATGTCTGCATCCATGGCCCGACTGTCCACGTGTGTCAGCACCTGTTTATCCCCTGGGGAGTCCATTAAGGGAGATTTCATCTCTGCCCTTTCTCTGTACTCCTGCTTGCCCGTCTGCGCGCCTCTTCCTTCTTCCTGCCGGCTTCATCTGGGAGGAATTTCCACGACCCTTTGGGTCCTGGGGCTCAATCTGCCGCTGACTCAGCAGAGACCCTCCCCCAACACTGTGTCCGTCTGCCCTGTGGGGGCGGGGCTGTGTCTCCCTTGGATCTGTGTGTCTGTTTCCTGGTCTTGGCCTGGTTTTCTTGGTCTGGTTTTCTTTTCATCTGTCTGTGTGTCAGTCTCTGTAAATTTTACTTGCTGCTGAAAAGTGTGGCTGAGTCGTTGTGCTTCTCTATGCCTCTTCTCCCACGGGATGAGCCTTTACGCAGCTGGAGTCCACAGTCAGTAGAGGCTGGGACACGGGTTTCCCAAGGAGATGACAGGCTAGAGATGGGGCCCCAGAAAACAAAGGTCTCCCTCCCCAGAAGGCCTCTGTCCTCCAGTGCCCCTTCCAAGGCTTCCTCCATTTCCTCCCTGCCTCCCGCTGTGCGCCACCGAGTTCTCGGTTCTCTGCCAGCCTATCTTCCCACTTCCTTCACCTTTCATTCCAAGAGCCCTCTCCCCTTGTTGTTCTGCTGGTGTAGTGCCAGCTTCGTGCCCTCCCCACACCTCTCTGAGCCCCTGTCACTTGACTTTTTTCTTCCCCTACTATCTTCCCTCTCCCAGGCCTTTGCATTTCACTTCCTTCCAATTTCAGGGTTAAGTGGGAGTCATTGTCTTCTCAGTTCAAGATTGTAAACCTCCTCATCACCCTCAGAAGAACTCTACTGGGTAGGATTGTGACCTAGGCAAAGAGGACCAACCGGATCTGGCAGCCTTTCCAGGGAGTCGAGGGCTCCCAGCTCATCCCGAGCCTGGTGTCAGCTGTGGATGTGTGCCTCAGACGAAGGAAAGCCCAGGCTTTGTAGGCAAAGGTGGTTGGGGGGGTCCACTGTCACCTAGAGTGCCCAGGCTCTGGTTTGGGGGAGAGGGGACCCTTAAGGGTTTTTTTCACAATACAAAATGGTGCCAAAAGCTTCAGGATGTCCTGCCGGGCTGCTCTTGGAATTGAAGTCCTCTGAAGGTTGCTGCTGTGTTTGTGCAGAAAGTGTCACTTGTCCATGGTGAGGACAGCACGTTATTGCAGATGGACCACAGTGCCTGGGCACCCAGGTCACCTTGGTGCTGGGTGCTTTGGGCTTGCCCTGCCCTGTGTCCTTCCAGGTGAATTCTTCCCCATTTTGAACGTACTTTCTTTACTCACATCTGCCCTGCTCTGGAAACCCTTTCTAAAGAGTGTTCCCGGCCCCAGAACAAAGCTTTCCTAAGGCCCTTGACCAGAGTGGCTGCAGCATTTCTGTTTCAGGTGAACCACACAATTGCGTTCCTACCTGCCAAACGCATTTCAGGATGGTTTGCCTTTTTCTTATATCTGGAGTGTTTTAGAACAATCAGAACTGATTAAAACTCCTTTTGAAAATCGGAGAGAAAACTAGCCTAGAATTGGAACTAAGTGCTGCAGTGACTTGTAACATTGTGTTTTCTCTTTGAAATAAACCTGAGCTCAGAGAGTTGGGAAAATATTCCAACTGAGGAAAGGTCAATGAATTGCTTTGGCCGTTTTTAGGGAATAGATTATGTTGTGGGTGGTCAGACGTGGCTCGTGAACCTGGTAGGAGTTGGCAACTGGGGAGAAATGGCTAAGCTGAGTAGCTGTTTTATGTTTAGACTCAGGGTGTGTACAGATGTGCAGCTTTTGAGGTGCCTTGACTTGCCTTGTCCAGTCCAGTCCCTGCCAAGGCCCAGTTGAGAAGGTTTTCCCTACCTTGGCCTCTGAGCTGCCGGCTCATCGGTTAACACTTGGACTTGGCTTTTGGCTCCGGTTCTCAGCCGGGTCAGCCACTGGCAGCAGTCATGTTGTACCATGGATCAGTCTGTTGGCTGCTCTGCTTCCTCACTCCTTGGGCCCCTGTATTCCCCCGAGTTGACCTTGATTCAAGGTGAGGAAGCATGGAGGCAGAGAAGACACTTTCCGGATCTCCTTTTACTTAAAATCCACCCCTGAGCCCTTGTAAAACCTGTAGCACAGGCGCCTCCCCGCGTCTTTATTTCCCATAAACCAACATAAAGGTGCTTATCAATTGCAAAACACACCAAAATTCCAGGAGAATTTCTTTGTAAAAAATCCTGATGCAGGGGCGTAGAATGTACGTGCGTTGAAGACCCTCTGACCCGTTTCTTTTGTGTGCTGTGAGAGGTACAGTGGTCAAGTTTGCCTGTCAGCCTCACCTTCTTGAAAGAAGGGCTTTTAATTAAGATAGTAGCTCGGCTTTTGTCTCAGTACTCTGGAGATGTTAATTTTTTTTTTTTTTTTTTAAGGCCTTAGCCCTTGAGTCAGATTGCTGATTAAAAATGTATTTTCCCAGAATCTAGGTATATTGGAGTAGTCCTTTTCACTTTTAAAGACATTCGTTAAAAGGAAAAGAGTTTCATTTTTTCCTCCCTCCTTAAATTTGATGTATTTAAAGTGTATCTCCTCCCTAGGGTCTTAGTAAGACCTCAGCATCCTGTCGTAAGACGTGCTCCTTTAGTTATAGACCAGGGTCCTCACACGGTCAGTTGTTAAAATAAAGCACCATAAATTAGAAGGAAAATGCTAACAACGGAAGGAAATCCTGTCTGGGGCTGCTCCCTATCAGTAGCTCTGTTGACTGTCTGAAGATGGACAAGGCCTAAGACCAACTCTGAGGAACCCTGGGGGAACTGGGGGAACTGGTGGAACAGCCAGCATGCTCTGGCTCTAGGCTGAAGACACCAGCCTGCCTGCCATCGGTGCTCCGTGGGGTCTGGGCGCTCACAGCGGCACCACCGTCTACAGCCAGCTGCTTCTAACCACCTTTTCCCTTGTCTTTTTGTTTTGGATCTATTTCAGGACATGGAGGAGTGAATCAGCTTGGGGGGGTTTTTGTGAATGGACGGCCACTCCCGGATGTAGTCCGCCAAAGGATAGTGGAACTTGCTCATCAAGGAGTCAGGCCCTGCGACATCTCCAGGCAGCTTCGGGTCAGCCATGGTTGTGTCAGCAAAATCCTTGGCAGGTAAAGGCGGGAGCCCCAGGATCCTCTTAATTTTCCTGGTAAAGACCTCAAAGGGGACCTGGCAGCTGTCCAGTGTGCATTGTCCGATGGGACTTGTGAAGGCACTTTGTCCCACGAGCACAGCACTTTAGAGTTTGCAAAGTCTTCTGGAGGCCATTCAACTCAAAGAACCCCCGGGTGCCAGCCCCTGGCTCAAGTGACATCCACTATGTCCCACGCAGCAGGGACAACATGTTTCCTAAAACGCTGGTGAATTATCCTGAATAAGCTGAGAGTCAGAGGCGCTGGGAATTGCCCTCACCCAGCACTCGAGCAGGGTGAGTGGGGAGTCCACAAGTTATAAAATCACCCATCTGGGGTGTAATGTTCCATTTTAATGCTTTCGAAGGCACACTCCAGTTTTATCAGCCAGCCATCATTTTTAGTTTGCGGTTATCATGCCACCAGGCTGGGCTGCGGGGTTTCCCTCCAATCTGTTTTGTTTCCTTTGTAGTGACAGGCTTCCTAAGTACATATTAAACTAGAGAGAAGGAAAAACAGAACAAAACAAAACAAACACCAACTCTCAAATGTGACATTTGAAAGCTGCCACTTGACCCTGCGGTTTGCGGCCAGCAGAGTCGCACGTTGGCAGTGGTCCCCGAGGGCTGCCCAGCCTTTCAGTCCTCCCATTCAGTTTCTCTGTGGTACCTCAGTACAATCCAGGGAAGCAGGCTGTGAGATGAGGAAACCAATCCAGAGGCAAAGTGACTCGCCCAGTGTCCCTGGCCAGTCAGTACTTAGCTTGGGTGAAGCCTGAAGGACTTTGACTCCCAGACCAACCTCAACTTGACTCGCCAAGCCCCCAAAACAAAGCCACAGGTTTGTTCTCAGGCATGTAGGTCTCCTTGGCAGCCAGGAAGGAGTTCTGGTGGTGTAGCGGTTAAGTCGTTTGTCTACATCAAAAGGTCGGTGGTTTGAACCTGCCAGATGCTCTGTGGATGAAAGACGAGGCAGTCTGCTTCTCTAGAGCCTTGGAAATTCCAGGGAGTTGCTCTGAGTCGGAACAGACTGGCCGGCAGTGCGCTCGGCGTTTGGTTTGGCAGCCAGGAGCGTTCTCAGGGTAGTCCGTCATGCTCACCTTTAGTCTCTGTCTCCCTGGGTCTGAAAGCAACCTTTGTCCTGAAACTTGAGAGCAGATGATTGAAAAGAAAATAAGTATTTTGAAGTATGTCAGTGACATTGTGTCTTTCTGCTTGTTTTTTCTTTCCATCTGCTGTAATGGAAGAAATTGTCTCAGGTGGAGGGAGCAACTTTTTCTCATAATCTTGGGGGGCCTTCCTTGAGACCACAGGGAGAAGTTTCAGGGCCCAGGGTCTGGCAGCCAGTGTTCACTCTTCCTGTCCTGCCTGGCACAGGTCACCTCACCTTGGAGGCTGTGGGCTCTGCTCCTGTATAGTACTCAGCAAACAGGTGAGCTCTGGCCTGGTGTTCTTTTTAGAAGAGAGTGAGGAGAAGCAAAATAGACAGAAAGGACATGGAGAAAAGAGGTAGGGAAGAAAAGAAACAGAGACAGAGGTGAGAGAATGAGAAAAAAGACAGAGAAAGAGAGAGAGAGAGGTGGGGGAGAGAATGAAATGAGGGACTGAGGAAAAAGAGGCAGGAAGGATCTTAGACTGTCTTGGCATCAGACCCATAGAGCCAAATGGGCCTTGTTATCTTCTGGTGAATGTCTTCATTGTACCGAGGACGAGAAAGAGAGAGAGAGAGAGAGAGAAAGAGAGAGAGAGAGACAGAGAGGGAGAGAGAGAGAAGGCCCTTCCTTTGTTTTTGTTGAGACATCTCTGCTGAGCCGACATCTTGTTCACTGTTTAAAACCTTCCCAGGGCAAACTCCGGAGCTCTCCTCTGAGGGGCCGTCCGGATGCCGGGTGCTCATTTCTGATGCCCTGGAGCCCTCCAAAGCTCCCAAGGAGACTGAGGGGCACGAGGACCCTCCCAAGCCTAACCCTCTGCCTTCCTGGCTCCCGTGGCCTGGAATAGATTTGTCACTAGGTAGAGTGGCACTCGGAAGTTATGCACCGCTCTGGTGCCTGGCCGTTTAAGTTGTCAACAATAAATTGGAATTTCATAGCTCATTATTTTCATAACTAAGAACCACAGTGGACAAAATGTCATTCTAATTAGAACTGCCTTTTAGGAAGCAAGTTCAGTCCTAAAACAGTGTGACTGCGAATTTCTGAACTCGGGGTGTTGGAGCCGCTGGGTTTCACTTGCTTGTTTCTGAGGAATTTGATGGGTGCACCTGAGGGGACAGACTGCAGACAGTGTGTGCTGTGTGGTGGCTGCGGTTTTCAGAAGCAGCATGGCAGGGCAGGCAGAGTCCCTGGGGCAGACAGGGGCCCTCGCCATCTCAGGAAGATGGGCAATATGCCAGCAGTGTGGGCATTCAGGCCACAGAGCTCAAGACTGCAGGCAGGCCAGAGAGGCATAGCTCGGTGGCGTGTGAGGCCAAGTAAAACCCACCCAGAAAGCCTGACTGTTGTCTTTTCCCACTGGAGCCTGGCTGGGAGGCTCAGGCCACTTGGAATTGGGAGGTTTGTTCCGCGGTAATACCAAACATTCAGCGGATTTTGGTTCGCAGTGTGCGCTCTTTATTTCGTGTTTTGCAAAGCTTTTCTTAGCCGGTCTTTACTTCTGCCTTTACAACAGCCCTGCAAGGCAGATAGAGCAAAGATCCTCCCCCTCTTATACAAACGGGCTAATCGAGGCCCAGAGAGGCTAAGTGAGTTGGCCAAGGTCACACAGCGAGCTGGGTTGGAGCCACTAACTAGCACCCACACCTCTTGACTCTCAATCTAATGCTCTCTGCACTGAGCTACACTGTGTATCGAGGGCTGCTGTTGGCCTTCGCGCTGTCAGCCAAGGGGCTGCGTGGCTGTTCTGCTGAGATGACAGAGTGGTTATCAAGGCTGAATCCTCACCTGGCACAGGTGCAGTTTGGGGTTTTGGGAGTGTCAGGGCTGCTTTTGAAGTGCCTGACCTATGTGTCAATGAAAAGAAGACGAAACCCCTCATGTCAAGACCACAGCGTCCCACTGTTGGCGCTGAGCAGGTGGGGTGGGCGGGGAGGCTTCCTCCTGTCGCTGTCCCGGAGTTGCTGCATGGATATTGCGGGCCCACGCAATGATTTGGAGTGGCCAGCATGGGTCACCTGTGTGGCTGCAAGCCCACTCCTGAGACCACTTGCCCAACACTCAACGCCTATCGACTGAGTAAATGAATCAATGAAAAGATGCATGTGAAAATAGGCGCTGGATGGTAGAGTCCTCTACAAGGACAGGACACTGTTATCATTTTAAGTTTTTCAACCAAAGCAGCAGTCTGTTTTAGCAGAAAGAGCCATGTTTGAAAGCTGGGCTGCCTCTTACTTCCGGACCCTGCTGGTCCTACAGGATCAAGATCATTCGAGAAAGAGTTCCGTGAACTTGGAAGCTTTTGTTGTTGCTGTCTGCCACTGAGCTGATTTGGACTCCTAGCAACCCTGTAAGACAGAGTAGAATTGTCCCATAGGCTTTCCAAGACTGTAGAGCGTCACGAGAGCCATTACCCGGTCTCTTCTGCTCCAGAGCTCTTGGTAGGTTCCAACTGCAGACCTTTCTGTTAGCACCCAAGTACTTAACCGTTGCACCACCGGGGCTATGCAGTTGTTGTGTTGATAGTAAACAAACAAACAAAAAAAAGATTTTGTATTGTAACATTGAAGGAATAATTAGAGGCTGTGCAGATCAGTGTTTGTCTTGATTTAGGTCATTTTCTAGACTTTTAACAGAAAGTGTTTTCTTGGATTTTTTTTTTTTTTAACCTATTTGGGACTAAGAATAATGTTTTACCAAATACAGAAAGAGGGGGAATAGATTGGGCTTTGTTTTATGATCAAAATTTGTAAATGACCCTTTCTCTTCTCAATGAAAAATACAGTTTTTACCCCCCATATCACTCCTCCCAGGGAGCTCTGGTAGCATAGTGCCTAAGGCACTTGACTGCTAACCAGAAGGCTGGTGGTTCAAACCCACCAGCCACTCCTCAGAAGGAAGGCGGGACAATCTACTTCCGTAGTGATACTGCCTCGGAAACCCAAGGAGGGGTTGCTATGAGCCGGGGCCGACTCGATGGCACATAACAACAACACAACATCACTCCTCCCAAATGATTCTCTTTGCTTTGGGAATATTCACTCATTTGGCCCCAGCCAGGCCCAGCCAGGCCCAGCCAGGTTGAGACTTCCAGCATCTCTTTAATGTGCCCAGTCATTGTTCTTGAGTAACATTGCCCACCAGTTTCAAGGGACAATTGCCTCTTTTCCTTACCTAGTAGAAGCTTTTCTTAGGTTTAAAAATTACCAGTCATTTCTAAAAATGTCCTTTTGGTTAATGTTTTTCCAGTTGTGAGATAACCTTCTTCGGAAGTGGAGGCAGGGCTCCTCCATGAAGTGAGGACATGGTCAGTGAAGGAGTGATTTTCCACTGAAGTGGTCTCTGTGCCCTCCTCCTGGGCTCGGTTTTACTCACCTGGTTTGTGTTCACGAGGAGGGGCTGAGCATGGAAATACCTTTAGGAAGAGCAGTTCAATTCAGGGGAGCCCTTGGAACAGCTACTGGAAGAGCTGACACCCCTGTGGTTGGCTTATTTTTTTCATTTTGATTGTTTGGGTTTTGGCTAATAGCATGTATTTCCAGTCAACTCTGGAACCCAACACTCCTTTCATTTTTGTACCAGTGTTATTGTTTCTCTTCCGGAAAGATACCTTGCATGTTGGGGTCAGTTTCATGTACTGTGGCCTCGTCTGTCAGAGGGGTAGGGTAGCCGGCCAATCATAGGGACAGGCCAACTTTCCGGGGGCACGGTAGTTCAGGAGGCTGGCCACAGTCCTCAGCTGGCCCTTGGCCTTGTGTGACCCTGCGTGAGCCGATTAACTTCTAAGGGTATTTGTTTGACATCTGTAGGTGAGGATGTATTCATTCATTCATTTTTTTCCCAACACATTGATGTGCTTTAGAATGGTGGCTGGGATCAGACGGGAAAAGGACTTGAGTGCTTCCTTTAAACGGTATACTGGTCGAGGAATGAGACAGAGTCTTGTTAATGCAAAGCATCCTGACCAGTGCAACCCAGTCAAACTACAGTGTAAGCCACGATTAATTTTGAATTTTCTGTTGTTGTTGTTGTTGTGCGCCGTGGAGTTGGACCGACTCATAGGGCTTGCCGAGGCGGTATCTCTATGGAAGTAGATTGTCCAATCTCCCTTCTGGTTAGCAGTCAAATAAATGCCTTAGGCACTATGCCACCAGAGCTCCCATATACACCTATATTTAACCCCATACACACACAACACTGTCATTTCTGCATCTAACCAATATAAAACTAGCTAGCCCTGAAATTCTTACATTCTTTTTTGCCTGACGTCTTTAAAAGCCAGTGTGTGTTTCATGTTTACAGCACATTTCAGTTCAAACCAGCCACATTCCCAATGCTCCAAAGCCACAGAGGCTAGTGGCGCCTGTCTAGGACAGCACAGCACTGGGCGTCTCCTGGACACGGTAGCCCGTTACTGTCCTCTGACATCAGTTTGGCTGGTTCCTCGTGGTGAAGCTCCTCTCTCTCTGCTTGGGTCCTAGGTATTATGAGACGGGGAGCATCAAGCCTGGGGTGATCGGAGGATCCAAACCAAAGGTTGCTACGCCCAAAGTGGTGGAAAAAATCGCCGAGTATAAACGCCAAAACCCCACCATGTTCGCCTGGGAGATCAGGGACCGGCTGCTGGCAGAGCGGGTGTGTGACAATGACACGGTGCCCAGCGTCAGCTCCATCAACAGGTGAGGGGCTGGGGACCTGGGTGGGAGTGGCAGGGGTCCAGGAGGCTCCGTGTGCCTTCCCTGAAACAGCTGGCTCTTCCTTTCACCAAGGCCCCCAGGGGCCATCCGTAAGATGGATGCTGATGGCGGCAGTGGGTCTCACTGCTATCCTCCTTCCCGCCTAAGTGGGCAGGCGTCCTCAGCCCCCTTGACTAGGGCTTCCAGAGAGTCTTCTGAGGGCAGAGTGATTTCCGTCACACCCTTCACCACCTCATTCCAGGGTGGGGTGCTTTAGGAGAATTGTCTTGAGTAGGCCTTCACAAACGTCACTGTCCTCACAAGCCCAAGCTCAGAGTCTTACACTGATTCATCCAGGGTCCCCAGGAGGAACATCCCTGCCTTCTGCCTAGGCAGAGGCTGAGCCAATGAGTGTGGGAATGGAGCCCCACCTTGGTCTGGGAGACTTGGCTCCTGTCCCAGCTCTGCCACAAACTCAAAGTGTGACTTCGGAAAAGGTTCTTCCCCTCCCTGGGAGCCCAGGACTCGCAGAGTGGTGCTGATGTGAACCTGTGATCTCAGAGTGGTGGCCAGGATGCCCGGATGCTCTGCTGTGAGGGGACTGCCCCTCTCCAACTTCCTTGACTCTCACCTGTGAAGAGAAAGAGCCCGAGAAATGCATGGGCGCCAGGCCTGAGACCTTCCGGGGAGCTCCCAGGGCCCCTTCTCCTGTCCGCTCTGATACAATTAATGGAGCTCTCTGAGATGTCGAGATGCATTTCTGAAAGGAGGCTTTCTAAGCAGATGGTGCAGTCTCCACTCCACTTAACCCCATAGAGTTGGGGATGAAGGTGTTGAGATGATCTGAAATGATTGTCTAAACTTCACAAACAAGAGAGGCCAACAGACTGAAAATACGAACAGTTTCCATCTCCAAGGTCACACCCTACCTTTGTCAGTGCAGAGCCTATCTAGGCCTAGGGGTCCCTCACCCCTGGAAGAACAAGGATGGTTAGATAAGAAGGTCTCTGAGGTCCCTTCCAGCCCTGACGGTCTTCCTTCTGCGACCACACCCTGCCCAGAATCACCGTGCGCCTGCATGTGTTGGCGCTTTGGGTTCTGCTGTTTCATTACCATTTGCCTGCTGTTCTTGTCTCAGCAAACCTTTACAGAGGCCCCAGCATCGTACAAGGTGCTGAGAAGACAGAGGGCAGTCAGCCTACGGGCTCTCTGTCTCTGTTCTGCAGGGGCTTCTAACCCTGGGTGGGGTTCAGCAGGTCAGTCTGGATAGCCTGAGCTCGGGACAGTATCCCCGAGGAGGTAACAACTATTGTGGTGGGTTGAGAGGTATCACCTCTGCTCTTTTTCTGGGTTATGAGGGTCTCCAACGTGCTTGGTGAGTCCCCTGTTTATGGTTAGTTGTAGGGCTCCCATGACACAAAGCAACAAATCTGTTTTTCCCGAGTCTCCGAAGCCCAACATACTGCCTCAGGCAGATCTGCGGCTCAAGGACTCTCTAAAACCTTGAAAATGTAAAAGGGTGAGGCATGAGGTCAGTGCAAAAGAGGGAGCCCTCGGCGGGATCGCACAGTGGCTGCCACAACGGGCCTGAGCACAGCATGACTACGAGGCCGGTGCGGGACCGGGCGACGTTGGTTCTGTTGAGCGTGCTGTTGCTGTGAGTGAAAGTCAGCCCGATGGCGCTGAACACCAACTGAGCACAAATGTGGAGTGAGACGCCTGCCACCGTGGTTTGAATCCAGCAGTCAGATTTGGGAGTGCAGCGTCCTGAGCTCCATCCTCCCCAGGGGAGGGCATTCATATGATCCGTGGTTTGCAGGATGACTTTAGCTGGTCTATAGGGGTCACAGACATAGACGCCCACATGGGGCCAGACAGATAAGGTAAGGAGTGAAGCAGGGGGGACGTCAGGAGAGGGGGAGGTTGGGTGGCATCAGACTGAGGATCCAGCCCTATTAAAGGGACAGTTGCCTGCCAGCTCTGGCCAGATGTTGCCAGTGATGCGGGCCCAGCGTTTGCCAGAGTCTTTTCATTCTTAAAGAGAAGAAACTGGGACTTGTGGTATATCTGTGTGTGTGTATGTTTGTGTATGTGAATTCTCTATAGTTTTAAACTGTGGAGACTAATCTCAATTACAAACCAACTTGCAGGACTCCAGTTTACATCCTCTGTGATGCAAGATGAAAATTGTTTTGTGATGAGTTAATTTTAATGTGCTTTAGAAAAATATAAGTAGCTCGGTGGATCAGTTCATTTGCAAGCTTTATGACCCTCCCCCCTCCCCCAGTTTATAGCAGGGAAGTAAAATTGCCTAACCAAATGAACTTATTTGAGATCGGAAGTTAGCAGTGTAAGAGAAGCATGTGACTTAAGTAGTAAGTAGAGCCTCCTCTGGTGACAGAGGGGCCCAGGTCATGGAGGAGGTACTGGAATGAGTGGCCTTGGGAGATCCTGGACCCCTGATGCTTTGTGCCGGATGGAGCCGGAGCGGCTGCTGCTGGTTGCTGGGCCGTGGCTGGCCTCAGGGGCCTCCTGGGTGCCCTACTCCACAGCTGTGGCCCGACTGGCCATGCCTCTAAGTGTTTTCATGTCTCAGAACCCAAGGCCTAACTCCACCCTGTGATGGGTGTAGAACCCAGGGCTTCTACCTGTTTCATTCTGTTCGACGCCTGCTGAGAATTTTCTTTCCCACCCCAGGTAGACGGAACCAGAATCCACATTTTAACGAGATCCCCAGGTGACTCTTAGGTAGAAACCTGTAGGTTCTGATTCAGTGTATCAGAGCTAACAACGCAAGTTCTCAGCTGGGGGCTGAACCAGAACCGGCTGGTTCAATGCCCTGGTGGAAACTGCAGCCCACATGGGGGGGAACGATGATTTTGTGGTAGAGTCACGAGTAAAGGCCTGGTCTCCGTGTAAGAGGAGGGCTGGCCCCTCTCCACCACTGTCCTGCAGGACTCTGCAGGTGACAGAACCGAGCATCTGGGAGGAGAGAGGAAGAAAGGTGGCATAGAGCCCTTGCAGCTCCCTCTGGGGGCCGCGTGTTTTGGGGGCCGCAGCCACACGTGCTCTGTCTTGTTCTCTCTGGGGCTCCTCTCTCGTCCCTCAGGCCACTCTGCAGGGAGAGCAGTTTGGTGTACTTTGACTACAGTGCAGATAAACCAAACATGACACAGCCTCAAGCTGCTAGACCCTCCTTCCTGACCAAGAAAGCCCGAGCCGACCCACTGTCCAGATCTCATTGCATTCAAATGGACGCAGCTGCTACATACCCCCCTAGCAATTGTCGCTGGGTAAGGGGGCCAGCCACTCCTTCTCTTGCTCGTGCCTCTCCTAGAGGCAGCTTCTCACTGTTGCTCTCTTTCAAACAGCTGGGGAGGGGGTGGTGGCTGGATCTGTAGTTATTCCGGTGGCCAGCAGGGTCATCTGCACTCTGTACTCCATGGAGTGAATGCCTTCCTGCTGTCTTCATGGGGACCAACCTGGGAGACCACGACCTACGAGGCAACACCAACCTAGCGCTGCTGGCCTTGGAGGAGACTTCCTGGGGCGCAAACAAGCATGCTATGTGGCTTCTTCTTTTTTAATTTTTTTATTGTGATTTGGGTGAAGGTTTACAGAGCAAATTCACTTTCCATACAGTGGTTCACATATACTTTGTCTCATGACATTGACCACAGTTTACCACAATGCAACAGCTCCCCTCCCACTTCTTCCCCATAGTTACCCCTTCCCAGTGTCCATCCCTCCATGCACTCCTGCCCCCTGAGCTGTCTCCCCGTGCATAAGCAGCCCTTCTTTCTCCCATGATTGTTCTCTCCAAGGAGTGTATCTGCCTCAGGTAAATGTTCAACTCCTATGCCTGTCTTTTGTTTGGCTGGAAACCATAGGTATAGGTTCAATTCCAGATCTGAAAAGTCAGCCAGGGGCCATAGTCTCAGGGGTTCCACCAGGCTCTGTTGGACCAGCATACCTGGTCCCCACCTTTTTTTTTCTCCAAATGATTTTAAGTTTTGTTCCACATTGTTCTCCCTCTCTATCCAGGATCTCCTACATAGATCACCTTCCAAGGGGATGACAGTGGTAGCCGGGCACTGTCTAGTTCTTCTGGTCTCATAGTTGTATAGGCTGCAGATAGGATGGTGTACCAGTCACTAGGACTAATTGTTTCCATGAATTTTTGTTTTCTTCATTCTTCTTTGCTCTGGATGAGGAGAGACCCATCGTTGTATCTAGATGGCAGCTTGCTAGCTTTTAAGATCCCAGTCACTACTCACCAAAGTAGGAGGTGGAACAATGTTTCGTATAGTATGTTATGCCAAATGAGCTTGATGTCCCCTGTGACTATAGTCCCAAGTCCACAGGTTCAACTACTCAGTCCCTCTGGGTAGCTGGCTGTGACCAAGCTGTGACTACAACCTTGCCCCTTGTCAGCTCTACTATACACCTGGGAATTCTGATCATTCACGTAAACTTATAGGACCATTGTCTGCCAACCCTATATATGGTCTTGGATATACTCCCCATTTCATAGACATACCTAATCGTTCCGCCTGTCCACCCATATACCCATGTTAGCCTTCACTGACAACACAGTACTGTATATACAAAAGGGTTCAATTTGTTGTCTGTACCTCCCATGTACTTCTCTATGTCTTTCTCATCCTCAATGCTGATGTGGCTTCTTAAAGAATCTAGCCTGAGTGTCGGCTGAAAGTGGCTAAGAGCTGACTCAAACTGTGGGTCAGTTGCATGGCTCTCAATCGGAGGCTGAGTGGTGGGAACCACACAGACTACGAGAAGCGTTCCCAGTTTATGGGGACGGCTCTACTTGGCACTGACCGGTTGTCCTGTGGGAGTCTAGGGCTCCTGATGCCAGGTACTCTGATTTCTCAAGAGAGGCTAGGTCTCAATTTGGAAATATTGGCAACTAATTCAAATAGAAGAAAATATTGTGTGCTGGCCAAACAAAAGCTGTCCAGAGCTGGATGGCATCGGGGCTGGGGGTTTGTGAGTCCCAACTTGGGCAGCAGGCCTTCTGAAACTTCTCGCCCGCCCCTCTCTTCCCCATGTCATCACCTTGGGCACTGCCTGGGGGTCCTCTCTCAGCTTGGTCCAGTTGGAGCCTTGGTTTTAGGATCCTCGGTACAGTTTATGGTCCAAGTATCTTGCTGCAAAGATGTCAGTCTGACCAGTGCCATGGCCATGAGTGTTTCTTTAGCCCGGTTTCCTCGTTTCCTTTTCCAAGGCACTGTGATTTTTTCTTCCAGTGTAATTTTTTTTGGGGTGTGCGTATGTGAGAAAATCTTTCAAAAGATTTATAAATTCTTTATAAATTCTTTATAAATTCCCCTGTCACAAGAAGGGGGCTAAGTGGGTTCCCCACGGATGCCTGTAATATCTAAAGTCTCTGCTTTTCAATCCTCAGATTCTGAATGGATTTTGACTCCAGGTAGGCTTTGTGCCTCATTCAGGAAGTTTTTTTTTTTTTTTTTTTTAAGACAAGGGACCATTTCATGAAATATGGCTTAAAGAAAAGTGCTTGGGTGTGTGAGCTGGGAGTCTGGGCCGATTGGCTGTGTGACTCTGGGCAAATCACGTGAGTGCTCTGGGCCTTAGCTTCCTCACCTGTAGCATGTGGCTGGTGGCTGTGCCCCCTTCTCTGGTGAACCATCTGAGACAGTCATATGGTGTCCAGGGTCGTGCCCACACTCAGCCAAACAAAGGATGTACCTTTTAATGCTAACTGTCACTTAGCCCCACTGTCTCTAGTGCGAAACAGGTTCCGAGTGTGCTTTTATCTTAAGGGTCTTGATGATAACTTGTTACTTTTTAAGACTGTGTTATTCAGTTACAGTCTTGTTCTTCCCACTAATGTGTTTTCTCCGTGGAAGCTGATGCTCTTTGTTCTCGTGTGATGGCTCCTGAGAGTTGCTGGGCAGAACCTTATCCTCAGGGCTGAGAGGATTCCTTATGACTCTGGACTCCTCTAGATAGGTCAGCCTCCCTGCATGGTGATGGCTGCCTTCCCCTTCCCAACTCCAAAGGGAACCTCCCCCTTTTTTAAGGAAAATGTGGACAATATTAGCCTTTTAAGGTTGAAGCTGGTCGTTAATCTTTATAAGGCATTACTGATCATAACAACGGCTAACATTTATTGACAAGGAGCTCTATGGTATAGTGGGGAAGGCATGTGTTTGCTAACCAGAAGGTCGGTGGTTCAAACCCACCAGCTGCTCCATGGGAGGAAGATGAGGCAATCTACTTCCATGAAGATTTACAGCCTTGGGAACTTGAGCACGGTTCTAAACACTTAATTAACTTAATCCTCACCAGAGTCTCTGTTGCTGCTGTTACTCACTGAGTGGATTCGGACTCACGGTGACCTGCTGCGTGCCGATTCGCACCGTGCTCCGTAGGATTCTCAGGGCTGTGACTTGTCAGAAGCGATAGCCAGCCCTGTCTTCCGAGGCACTTCTGGATTCACACTGCCACCCCTTCAGCTAGTAGTCAAGCTCTCAGTCCCATTTTGTTGATGAGGAAACAGGCACAGAGAGGTTAAGTAATGTACCAAAGGCCACACAGAGGGCAGACTGCCAGTCTGAGATTCAAACTCTAGTCATCTGGCACTTAATCACCGTGCTGCAGCTGCTTCTCCGTGATTTTTAATAACTGATAATGTTTTATACATATTTTAGAAGAAACAGAAGGAAAACGTAATTTGCTTTGCTTTGCTTATATACAAACTTAATGGCCAGACAATGCTTTGAAAAATTAGGACTTTGTGCTAGACTTCAATGGGAAATTGTTGTGATGTACTTTGCCATATATTAATATATATACAAACCATAATATAGATGAACTATGTTTATATCATCTGTATCCACACAGTCACATATCTAGGTATTATCTCTTAAGAGCATTGTGTATGTGTGTGTGTGTACACACAGATGTGTACATATCTCTGTGTATCTGTTTACATATACCTATATCTATATACAGGCAGCTATACAACTACACACACATGCATAGAGCAGATGACAGACACAACAATGCCCAAATGGACCAGATGCTTAATTTTAGCTTACTTCGAGGTGGTCTAGCTGACTCATTGGAAAAGGACAAAAGAGCCTTTGCTGATCTCAAGTGGCCTGGACTCCAGAGGGCTGTGGTTGGGCTGTAGGGTGTCCGGAGGCATCTGGTCCAGGCTCTTGGCCAAAGGCCCAGTGCCAAGCAGTGAGCTCAGACAGGGCAGAGGCCCCGAACCAGTAAGGTTAAGGAGCAGCACCTGCCCCTCTCTTTCCTCTCCACTGCACAAGCTGGAGACTGGTGCCGCCTCCAAACAGGCTTCCAGAAATGGCCTGGACGGTGCAAAAGCTCCCCCTAGAACGCTGAGTGACGAGAAGATACAGAGCTGTGTTGGTGGTTTAATCCTGATTCTGTTAAGAAGAAGTAGCCATTTCTAAATGTGCACAGGAATGTGGGCATAAAGGAAACCACCAAAAGGTGATCTCAGGTGTCTTCTTTATAGTTTTCCATGCTGCCCCAGTTGTCTATAACGTGCACATGTCACTTTCACTATTAGGAAAAAGGAATAAATGTTTCTTACAGAATCATTTGAGGCTGGAACAGAACTTTTCCAAAGAGGCTGAACATTTTACTATCATCCACACTTCTCCCAAATTGCCAGGAAAGGAACTTTCTTGTAGACCCCAGAGGCACTTTTGTTTTGCTTCTGTAAGACACACTGGCTGGGTTCTGGTGGAGGCCCTATATGTGGTCCAGCCGGAAGTTTACAAACTAGGCTTCCCAGAGGCCAAAGTTCTGCAGGAGGCCACCAGAGCTGCCAGGTGGCAAGGGAAGATGGGTGCTTGAATCAAGTTAGCAAAGCCTGGTCTATTCCAACTGCTTCACAGTACTTAGGTCCAGAATGTTTTGAACCTGCCCAGGGTCACAATCAAGTTTGTATTAAAACCAGAGCCACGTGTCTAGAAACACAGTCCAGGACTTAGGGCCTCCAGCCACGGGGGGCCTTTTGATGAGATTTTGTACGAGGTAGGCCTCCTCTTGGCAAAGTCAAACCATTTCTCTCCTGATAGCACGATAACCCTTCCTAGTTTCAGAGCAACACATGCATCCCTCCCTTGGTAATCTCCTTGTGTGTGTGTGTGTGTGTGTGTATGTGTGTGTGTGTGAATCCTCCATGAGCTCTCTTGGGCACAGAGAAATCAGAAGGTCATAGCTGCCATCCAGCCCCTCTATTCCACAAACTGGAGCTGAGGTCTAGAGAAGGAAAGGGACCCCCTGATGGAGCTGGAGCCCCGTCTGAGAGAGGAATGCCCATTTGTAACGCTAGTGCATCCTCTTCCTCTAAGAAGTCCAGAGAGTGAGGGCAAGTCACCCAAAGACACCTAGCAAGATAGGGGCTGAGTTGGGACCAGTCCCTACTTCTTTCAACCTCCTGGCTCCCCACCAGTGGTTGTGCTCTCTCCCCACCTCTGCCCTAGCTCCACTCACAGCCCAGCCTGGGTGTGGGGTTTCTGGTTGTCCTCGCATAGCTGGTTGAGCTCCCTTCCCCTCCCTGGAACACCTGGGGGTAAACAGTCATTTGTTTTTTCCCAACTGCCCACAGGATCATCCGGACAAAAGTACAGCAGCCGCCCAACCAGCCGGTCCCCGCTTCCAGTCACAGTATAGGTAAGAAGAACTTTCAAACAAAATTTAAAAATCTAATGGGCTTCAAATAGTCTAAAGAACTTTTAATCATTCTTATGGACAGATAATTCTGCATAAAACACTTCAGCACGCGCCCTAATATGCCTTCTTTGTCATTCTCCAAGGGCTGGAGCTGGTAAATGAATTTTATAAATACTGCTAAAAGGTTTTGAATTTTACTGATTATTATGATAAATAGCTTTCACCATGAGACAGAAAATTGAAATCTAAGCCAAAAAAAAAAAAAAAAATCCACTAATGGGGGTCTATAGAATGTCAGATAATTAAAGTAATAAATCAAGAAAGGGGTACTTATTCATAACATTTTCTGCATCATTAGTCAGTAAGTAGTTTTGAATGTGTTTTTTTCTTCTACCAAGCAGCCCTTCCACAATTCTTTGTGCACTTGCAGTCTTGAGTGAAGATGTGGCCAAACTTTCCAAACTTTCTTTCTCGCTCGCTCTTGCTTCCATCTCACACCCTGTCAAGGCTGCAGTGGGGTTTGGGTGCTCACGAGCCAAGTCTGAGAGGGGCTCCGACCTGGAGGGGTGGGAGTCACATTGCATACTACTCAAGAGTCCAGACAGCCCCTTCCCTTCTGTTCAAAGCCTGTGAGGTGAAAATCCCATGTGTTTATTTAAGGTACAATATTTCCCCCTTGGGGTACAGGAAACCCCTCTGACTGGTTAGCTGGAGGAGAAGTTAGTCTGCTATCAAAAATGAGTGTCCACCCAGCAAGCCTGGGATGCTCCTGTTGCCACAGTCCCTGTCAATTCTGCTGGATCCGTCTCAGCTTGTGTCGCTTCCTCAACTTCATTGCTCCTTCGCTAACCAACAACTGGAACCCCTGCTGGCACGGGGGCCAGGCAGAGAGGCCGCATCCAGCGGCATCACTGATGCACCCAGTGAGCTGTGCAAGTCCCTTCCCCTCTCTGAGCCTCAGTTTCCCTTTTGTGATCTGAGGAGCACCAGGTGCCCTCTGGTCCCCGCCAGTTTTGATCCTCCATGGTTCCCTCTGAATAGGGTTAAGACAGAACTCCTCCCTGCCACGAAATAACTTCTCACCTAGTAATCCATTCAAAAAAGTGTTTGCTGAGCACCTGCTATGCAGACGGTGGTCTTGGACACTAATGTCACAAAGGAGGCAGGACAAATCCCTCCCCTCAAGGACCTCTCAGTCTCATGGGGGAATGTAGCAAAGAGAAGTTCACAGGACATTGAGTCCAAGCCCAAGAAAGTGGCACAGGGTGCTGTAGGAGCAGAAGGCAGGGAGCCTGGCTCTGGTCGCGGCTGTGAGGGTTAGGGAAGGCTTCCCGGGGAAATGCTTGCAGCTGAGAAGTTACCTGTGGCTGTGACTATTTCAGGTCACACAGCAATGAAAAGTTTTGTGGCTTTAACTATTTCAGATCATATAGCAATAAACATTACCCTTGGAATAGCTATAATAATACTCTTAATATAATTAATGCCACTAAATTGTATATGTGACAGATCTTGGATTGGTAGATGCAGTGATATATATATATATATATTTTTTTAATATATATATATACACACACACACACACACATACATACACACATACATATATATATGATATATAATACTTTTTGCTTTATTATATATAGATAAATATATAATAAAGCAAAAAATATTTTTCAAATTGCTTCAGAGGCATAGTTCTACTTGTAGGTCAGCAGAATGCTTTGTTTTGTCCCACTTTTTAATAAAACCTTTATCTTGACAGCCCCTCATAGATGACAAACTTTTTGATAAGTGAGAAAACGGAAGCTTAGCAGAATCCAATAAGTAGCCCAAGGTCCCAGAGCGTGTAAGTGGTGAGGCCAGCACTGGCCCCTGGGTCTTCCAAGCCTCGTGCGATCACCAAACGCTGAAAGAAACGCTGCGGCCTCTGTCAGCAACATGGTGCAGCTTGGTTATCTGTGGTGGTTGTTTTTGAAGAGCCCGGTGATCTATGGTCTTTCTTCCTGTGTTCTCTGCTCCTTACTTAACACAGAAAAACTGATGAGATTTGCATAAATCTATTTTGAGGAGCTGCTTCTGGTTAAGGAAAGGAGAAGTTAACGATTGTGCTTCGGGGTGTCCTAGGGAAGATCTAACATCAAACTCAAAGACCAAAGAAAGGCTCTCCCCCCTCTGGGTCTGTAGGAGCCTGGAGCTGGATCTGCTCCAAGGGAAGCCGCGAACAGCTCGTCCTGCGAGCACTGCCATTTCCGGTAATCTCCACACTTGACAGTCAGAGGCCGCTCCATCTGCCTCCAGCTAGTTACAGCCCAAGGAAATGTACTTGCGATTGCTCTGTAGGTTTTAATGAACCAAGAAGGAATTCCCACAGCCCAGAAATGGAGGTTCAGCCTAAGCGGAGAGGACCCCCCATCACCAACTGGTCTCTTCCTTGGGCTCTGGGGTCAAGAGTCAATGTGAAATTTGCACAAAAGCTTTTCCCAGTTCTTATCCCTACAAACTCTGAGACCTAACCTCCATCTCCCTAAGCCATCACCCTCTGTCCGTCGCTCTGGGCAGGGGACACAGAGACTTCACGTCTAGACCTGTGGCCGAGCCTGGTGCAGCCGCTTCTCAGCGAATCGGTTCACCATGCGGAGCCTCCGTTTCCCCATCTGACACACGGGGATGATGGTAGCACTCAGTGTTCCAACATCCGATGAAAAACGCTGCACTGCTATGAAGCATGGCATTGTTATTAACCATTGATTAGTGAAGAGCAGATGGGCACAGGATTAACTGTTCCATCTCTGGGTTCCAATCACCACCCTGCCCCTTCGTAGCTATGACCTTGGGCCAGTCATGTGCCTTCCCCAGGCCTTGATTTCCTTACCTGGGATAATGGCATTGCCTAGCTTGTAAGATGGTTCTCAGCAGTAAATGAGACACAGAGCACGTGCTCAGAAAAGGTTTGTTCTTATCATTGTCACAATCAGTATTAAAAATGAAAATCCAGGTAAATTGGAGGGAGGAAAGACAGTGAGGAGCTATGGGAAGGAAGTCCGCCCTGGGCGGTTTTGTTGGCTGTGCACAGGCGTGCGTGTGCCGGGACCTGTGTCTGTGAGTGTGGACGGCCCCAAGCCCCGAGCAGCTCCCTCGGATCTCTCCTGCACCAGCTGGGGCTCCTCCTTTGCCCTCTCCGTCCCCCTGCTTCCTGCTTCCGGACCTGGCTGGGCTCCCCCAGCAGCCCATTAACTAGAGAACCTGGGCAAACCACCCACCGCGATCCGCTCTCCTTGCCCGGGGGTGGCTGCTGGCGCTGGGCCCACACCCCCTGCCCGCACTGCACTCTGTCCACTGTCACCCCCAGCGGCAGCGCCTTTGTCCCAGGCTCGGTGGCACTTGCTCGGCCCGGGCCCTGACCGCCCCTCTCCCTCTGCGCAGTGTCCACGGGCTCCGTGACGCAGGTGTCATCGGTGAGCACGGACACGGCCGGCTCCTCGTACTCCATCAGCGGCATCCTGGGCATCACGTCCCCCAGCGCTGACACCAACAAGCGCAAGAGAGACGAAGGTAAGAGACAGACCCTCGGTGGCGGGTGGCGCTGTCAGGACAGCTCAGCTCCTCGGGCTGGAGGCCCGGATGCCTGCTGTGCATCCCCTCTCCCGCCTGGCACAGGCCCGCTCCCTCGGAGCCTGAGTCCCCTGGAGGGACAGGAGGGACAGCCGGGCACTGGGCTGGTCGCTCTGCAGTCTGGCCTTCTCTCCAGGGGTGGAGAGATCAGGGCTTGGCTTGGCCTTCATGGCCTTTAAGGAGGCCCTGTGCTTGCAGAGAAGTGGTGCAAGCAGTTAATGTTCTTGGCTGCCAACCCAAAGGTTGGAGGTTCAAGTATACCTCAGAAGAAAGGCCTGGTGATCTAAAGGCTCTGAAAAATCAGCCGTTGAAAGCCTTGTGGGGCCTAATTCCACCCTGACGTACGCGGGGCGCCACGGGTCGAAATCCTCTCAATGCAACTGTGTTTTTGTGTGCGTGTGCATGTGTGCCCATGCGTGCATGTGTGTGTGAGCGAGTGTGTGTGCATGTGCACGTGTGTGTATGTTCAGATACGATTCCTAGGGGTGGAGAGTGAAGGGTCTGGCCATGATATCTTCACCAAGGACACCATGTTCTTCTTGTAGGGAGCTGAGGTGGGTGCTGGGCCAAGCAGCCACCTCCTGGGTCTAGCGGTGGGAGGCACACATGTGTGGAGCGGGCCGAGAGGCTAGTTCTCCGGGGGCTTTGCACATCCCTTAGTGGAGAGCTTCAGTGGGGCTGGTGTGTGTGTGGGGGGTGAGCAAGGGCCTGGAAGGAAGGCGTGCAGGGGCCTCCCGGGGATGCAAAAACCTCTCAGACCTGTCGCCTTCCATGGGGCCATGGCCCACCTTAACCCAGGCCTCCCTTCCCCTGGCCGAGGCTGCCAGCTTAGGCTGACGTTAATGGGCTTGAGAGGAGAAGCGACCCCCTGGGAGTGTGTAAAATCTTCCTCGGGAAAGGAAAAGGCATAGTCCAGGAGGCCTGAGAGCAGCGTGACAGCAGTCTTGATTCAATTACTCTGTTCTTCAGCACAGTTCCTTCCTCGGCTCCGTGTAAGGGATGTATGTTCTTGTGAGCACATGCCTAAGTACTTAAGATCTGTAACTAGAAAATTGAGTCAGCTGGGTGGCGGCTTGGCCTGCGTGGTCCAGGCAGCACGGGAGCTTCTGTGGGGCTGCTTCGCAGCTTCGGGAACCTGCCGCACCTCTTCCCCTGCTCCCGAGCAGATGTCAGGGTCTTTAACTCAGTGGCTGCTGTGCGAGTCGTGGTGGGAGCCGATGGCCTGCGATCTCTGTTGGTTTATGCAGCTGACGGCATCATCTTTCCTTCCCTTGTCACCTGCACTGGAAGCAGATGTGCCCAAGATGGGGCCTGGCTGTATCACATGATGGTAGGGGCTGGCTGTGGGAGGCTTCTACACAGGCTGCGAGGTCCAGGCAGGAGATGTTGGGAGAAAGAGATAATCTACTGTGAATTTCCCCACTGAACAGATGGGTCCTGCTGTGGGGGGTTGTCGTGCGTGTTTGTGGAACACTGACTTGGCTTGTGATTTGTGGTCGGCAGTCATGCTTGGTCCCTCAAGCTGCTTGAAAGGGTGGGAAGTGGTCAGAACATGGGCGGTGTTGGTCCTGACGCCTCAGCACTGGACAGGTCGTGTCCTGAGGACATCAGCCCGTTTGAAGTCTCTTTAAGAGACACAGTGGCAAATTGCTTGGGATATATCCAGGTGAACTGGGGTGGGGAGGCATCTGGTGGTCACAGCACCTGGGAGCACGTCAGGGTTCTAGGGGCGTCTTGCCACGAAGAAGAGACGAATTCGCAGCTTGGGGTTGTTGCTTGCGTACTCAGAGGGCTAACATGGGAGGAGACAGGAAGGAGACGTGTGTGGTTCAAGGGCCAGTTTGAGGCAGATGCAGAGGAGATTTCAGCTCGTTGTAGGAGCTGTGCAAATAGAAGCGCCTCTTGGGGTATAAGGGGCCTGTCTTGGCAGGTAGTGACGGCCCCATCACCAGGGATGTGCAGGCAGAGCCTAGCTGGGCAGCTGTGCTGGAGGATGAGAGTCAGATGTGGGATCGGGTGATCTTCGAGGTCCTTCCAGCTCTAAAATGTACCACGGGGTCCTGACCCCTCGTGTGTGGTCTGTGGGCTCAAGGACAATGCTTCGATGGCCCTGGACGCTTGTAGGATTGGGAAGAGCAGGACCCCAATGCCCTTTGTCACCCAGAGGGTAGGCGGTTGAACAGAGAGGAGGACAAAGTGTCCTTGCTCACATTACCAAGTCTCTGGGGGAACTAGGAGCTCTGGTTAAGGCCTTTGGCTGCTAACCAGAGAGGTCAGTGGTTTGAACCCACCAGCTGCTCCATGGAAGAAAGATGAGGCAGTCTGCTTCTGTAAAGATTTGTACCCTTGGAAACCCTGTGGGGGTCGCTATGGGTCAGATCCACTCGAGGGCGGTAAGCCTCTTTTTTCTGGGGAAAGTGTGACGTAGCACCCCCTACTGCCCTTTCCCTCAACCCGCTGCTGTCAGATTCCCAGGCTGTAATCTTTAGGGAAACTGACTGCCACATCCCTCTCTCAGGGAGCGGCTGGTGGGTTCCGACTGCCAGCTTTTGGTTACCAGCTGATCGCTTAAGCACTGCACCACCAGGGCTCCTTTGACCCGTCCCAGTTCCCTCTGTGTTGCTCCAGACCCTGCATCACCTCAGGGTTGAGAGAGGAGGCAGACATGCTACTCTCATTTTAAAGAGGAGAAAAGTGAGGCCCCAGGAGTTGTGGGACATGGGCAAAGCTGCATAGCCGCTGTGGAGGGAGGCATTGGGAGGGGCTGAACGCGCGGCCCCTCAGTTTCCCGCCTTGGGACGCCTTGGAGGTGGAGAAGCCTGGTCTGGGTGGAGCCCGGGGAGGGCGCAAGGAAAGCTTTCAAGGAGAAGGACAGCAGGTCAGATGCTGCTGAGACGGTGGGGAGGTGGAAGGTAGAGGTCAGGGTTTTGAGGAGAGCCGGGAAGTAAGAGGCAGCTACCGGGATCAGGCCAGGGCAACACGGGGGAATGGCCCTGGAGGGCCACCCTGTTGAGGCTGCAGACCTTGCATCTGTGAGGGCAGCAGCCTGTAGGGGTGGACAGTTGTTCCCAGAGCCCTCAGCCTGAGAGGAGATGGAGCACGTAGGAGAGGGCTTCTGCAGGAAGGGGTAATGGAGCAAGAGAGGGAGTGGAGGCCCAGACGGCTAAGGATCCCCGCCCCCATCTCTGAGGTGTGCTGACTGAGGCGCCGCAGAGTGGAATGGCTGAGTGGAACGGCTTGCTCAACTCTCTGGTCTGAGGGCCTCTCCAGCTTGGACTTGGGTCTTGCCCTGTGGTCACTTCCTGGTGCCATCCTCCTGCCCGGGCCTCAGGGAGGGGTTGAGCAGCAAGACAGGGTCTGTCCTGTAGAGCTCACAGGCTGGCGACCAGGGTGGCAAGGTCCCCGTCCCTCTGGTGGGCCGCGTGTGAGGTGATGCTGTAATGAAGGGGTGGTACCTGGAGTGGGAGGGCAGGACAGGGAGAGGCGGATTCTGACCAGAAGGATCAGGGAAGGCTCTTCATTGGAAGCACTCTTCATTGGAAGCATTCTTCATTGGAAACATTCTTCGAGGGCTGGGTGGAGGGAGGAGAAGACCATCAAAGGAAAGAGATGGTGGCAAGGCTGGGAAGGTGTGAGGGGCAGGGAGAGAGCCAGACAGCGGGGCTGCAGGAGGGAGAGAGGTGGGAAGAGGCCAGGAATCTGGGACAGCTCTGCCATTGTGGCCTCGTTGTGAGGCATTGGGCTAGGATCAGTGGGGAGATGACTTCAGGGCTGTGCTGACCACTCAGATATAAGGGTGGACCCAGACGAGATGAGCCCAGTGCTGTCCAATAGACATACAACATGAGCCATACATGGAATTTAAAATCTTCTAGTGGCCTCATTAAAGAAAAAGAAAAAAAGAAAGAAAGAAAGAAACAAGAAGAATTAGTGTTGATAATATATTTTATTTATTCCATTATGTTCCAACTATTTCTATTTCAATTGTCAATAGAAAATAATTTGGATGCTATGTTTTCCATTCTTTTTTGTGCTCAGTCTTTGAACTCTGGTACACATTTTACACTTGAGTTCATTAAAATCAATAAGATTTAGCTCTTTGGTCGTCCAAGCCTCATTTCAAGCACCGCATGCCACACGTGGCTGGTGGCTACTGTATGGACAACATGGCTGTCGTGCAGGTGCCTGGCACCCAGCCGATACTCAGCAGATGCTCTTTGATGGACCGGGCCGGCCACATCTTTAGAGGGTCACTGTTGGTGAGGATGGAATGGAGGGTCTGTCGTCTCTTGTTTGGTATCATGGGCGTCCACAGAAAGCCTGAGCCATAGCTTGGATCCCCCCACCCCCACCCCAGGACGCTCGCCTCCGAGACCAGACTTGGGGGCGTGGTCAGTGTCTCCTAATCTCCAGAGAAGTGTTCTGTGACTGAGGCAGCCGACCAAGTCAGGGTGGCCTCTGAGGGCAGAGCTGGGACTGGTTAAAGGAAGCCACAGGGAGGCAGATGACGGCTCAGTGCGAGGAAGAGCTTTCTACTAACAATGAGCCTGGGAAAGGTAGTGAGAGCCCCGTCACTGGAGGTATGAGCAGGGGTTGTACAAACTAGGGGCAGAGGAGTGAGAGGAGGCACTCTGGGCTGGCCTCAGGGCCTTTTGCAGTCTCTCACCATCTGCATAGCAAGTACTCTGCTCCGTGTTTGGAAGCTGGTTCTGCCCTCTGCTGCCTGACTCCAAGTCTGCTATTCAGGTGGGCATGACTGGGCAGGGGCCACATCTCACCAGCTTCTATCCCCAGCTCAGTCCCTGGGCACGGGTCCGGTGCACAGAGATGCTCGGGGGCGTGTGGGGGATGGAACCTCGTCTTGTGGTTGGTCCGACCTCAGGCTTTGATGGAGAAGCGGTGGCCTCAGGAGCCCTGCTGGGTCGGGGGCAGAGCCTGAG